AAAGAATCGGATTAAATCTGGATGAGAAAGACTCGCAAGACGTCATCCTGTCGCGTCGTCCAAATCACTATTCGAGCCGTGGTCAACAGCGTCAGAAACATCATTCGTTTCACCCCAGAATACGGGGGCGACACATTGTCACACGCGTATGTGCGATCCATGAGCACAAGCTTTTCGGGAGCGAGACGAGCCGTCAACTCGCCGACATGGTCCCATAAAGGAGCGGACCCGGGGGCAATGGTAGAAGGCGTGCGAAGCCGTTTCTTCTAAACCAAGGTAACACCGTTCACAGTCTGGACCCAAATGAAGGCCATCTCATTGAGAGGTAGCCGATTCCGAGCCAAATCGCCAGGTAAGCGAAAACTCAGGGTTACTGAGATAATACGCAGCTGGCGCCCAAGACCAGAAAGAGCGAAACTCCTCTTCCGACAAGTCGAGCCGCTCACGTAGAGGATCCTTCGCGACCCCCATAATCGAATCTCCTGTCAATGCGCGGCGTAGGAACACCAATCTCGAGGCGAGTTTGTGGCTCACCAAGTGTGGCATTCCCAGCCCCTCATGACACGGACGTTGTGCACAGACACTTCTGTCGACCTGATGATTGCGTCCCCTCCATAAAATGGAGGATAGCGAGCGCTCGAGCGGCTTCCTATGGTCTTTACAGAGAGGAAGTACGTATAAGCGATAAAGTACAATCGGAAAAACGTATGTAGCACACGCCTCCGCCTTGCCCTTCGCGGACAACCTCCGTTGACGCCAAGTCTGACCGACCGCATTTACTTCAGACCAATTTTTCTCCAGCTGGAGGTCGGATCCAAACCACACTCTAAGAATGCGGACAGGGCCGTCCATCCAACCGAAGGGCCCTGGAAGATCGACCCCCTTCCAGGCACTTAACCGCAAGCCGGACTACTTGTCGCGGTTAATCCTGGCCCCTGTCAGCTTCTCGTGCCGATCATACGCCTTCAGTACCGCCTCAATGTCGCTGCGAGACTAACCAGCAAAGAAACTCCTCTGGCCTGTCGATCCCCATATGCTGAATAGACGACAAAGTCGTTAGACAGCACACATGCATCGACGCTGCAAAAAAAGTGGGTCTGTTGGATCGGGGCAACATCTACTCTGAACAAGAGGTCACCGAGCAGGCGGCCTGCCTTACCCCAATTTCTCAAGCCCTACACATTCAGAGTGGCTAACTTGATTGACATATTTTAAGTCTGAAACGAAAGAGAAAAGAAAGAAATTTTCAACCTATTCACATACCGGACGGAAATCTGCGGAGGAAAGGACCCCGACGGATTGTCCTAAGCTTCCTGTTCCCAATTCCGTCGTCATCCGACCATCTAGGACAATACCGCCAACGTCCACAGGGTACGTTAGTTTAACAGCCCTATATAAGGAGAGAAGGAGCAAAACCGCGACCCTCGCCGCACAAAATTACTTATGTTTTCTCAAATTCTCGTTTTCGAGTTCCATCATCCTGATGTTCGGATAGGCTTCCTTTGCCTCGAACAGATGACCTTTGAATAGCCCCCCCTGTGTCCCTCACGCATGTTATTATTCCTGTGACGCCTGGGAAATTTCGGGGTTCTCAACCGACTTGCCTTCAATTTTTTCTAATTTCAATAGAGACCTTAAAACGTTCTTTTTTTTTTTTGTTTTGATAGGCCCCTTTTAAACTCTTCTTTGTCAACTTTACATATGGCTTCTGGGCCCGGAAAAAACTTCTTTTTCTCCCTTGAAGGATGGGGAGGAGAAGAAGTGGAAGTGTGAAGTGGGGTGGACAGTGAACTGAATGAAGAGATGGAGGGAGAGGGGGACGGAGCACGGGAAGGGGGGGTAGGGAGGATCCTTGCTTTTGGCAGGACCATGATAGCTTTTGGCAAAGCAGGGACGGAGAGCGACCTGGTTCTATCCATGACACTCTCCGCTTTACTTACGGCCAGAGTGCTTTTGCTGACGTTCACCTTCCTCCTCGTCTTCTCTGCTCCTTTTAAGAGATGCTGCCTGAGGTGGAGGCATTTTTTCCACCTCCATTGGCATGTCCATCAGTTGTTGCTGTTTTTGTTTTTGCTCTTGGTGTTGCTGTTGCTGCTGCTGTTTTTGATGCAGCTGCTTTTCCTGTACCTTCTTTGGAGGCTGCACCTCCTTCTGTTGCTGCTTCTCTGGTATTTACCTCTTTGGTTGGGGTATGTCCTGTGAAGACGGAACATCAGGTGATTTCCGACCCCTTCCAACTTACTTCCAGGCTCCATCCGTCGTTTTTGTGATTGACCACTCCTCTGCTGGCATCGTGACCACTGCTGCTGCTGTCGTTGCTGGACGAGGTGAATGTTTTGTGCTTTTACCAGGGCACTCCTTGGTCATGTGCCCTGAAGCTCCACACGATCAGCAATATGGTCTCCTGCCCTCCACGACCACCAACATCCGTTTGTCACGGCAAACGAGAACATTCGGTATCTCTCCGAAATTTTTTCGGTTAACTGTGACTTAAATTTCCATGTCGCCTGTCGCTATTCCTATTTTACTTATGAGGGCCTTTACTTCATGGACATCACCATATTTGGCGAAAAAGGCCCCAAATTCTATCCGCTAGGATATCTACGGGTACTCCATGTATGGTTGCCTTTGTCCTGCGTGTGCCCATATACTCCGTCTGCAAGCGTAAGATTTTGTTGTCAACACGCTTCCAGCTAATTCCTTGGCTTGTTGCTCAGTTGCTAATAATATGTCCCATGGTGCATTTGTTCTTCTGGCGAGTACTTTTGGGGTGATTTGTAGAGCTTTCAGGGCTTCTGCCATGCTATCCCTGCTGACCGCAATTAATTTTCGAGTTTTAACATCGGAAGACAGCAGGGAAATTGTCCGAGTACTTACGGCATCCAATGCGTCCGGAATGGTTAAGAATTCATTTCCTTTGAATGATTCTTCAAATTTCTTCCTTTGATTGCTGTAAAAGGCAGGATCTTTTTTAAGCGGTCTACTTTCAAACCAGGCCGTTTTTGCTGGTGACACCGGTTTGGAAATCGGTTCATTACTTTCGTCGTTGTTACTGTCCGCCATGATGGTTTTACGAACCACCACGGACGAACAAATAATGGCTTTCTTTTTTCTTTTTAAATTATTTTTTTCCACAAACGAAAAACAAAATAGTCAAGAACAAACACAAAAATAAACAAGAACGTGGAAAACGAAAACGCAATCAGCAATTAAAACAAACACGAAAAACATAAAATGAAAACAGGGGGGAGGGTAAAAATACAAAAACAACAAAAAGAAAGAAAAACTTCACAAAACGAAAACAGGAAAAGACTAAAAAAATTCAAAAATAAAATTAAAAACACAAAAAGGAAAACAAACAACGAAAGAAAGTAAAGAAAATACACAAATAATATTCACAAAACTGAACCAGGAAAACTGAAACATTCAAAAACGTTTCAAAAATTAAAAAATGCTTAGCAGTTTAAGCGCAAAGAAATACTCAAGTTGGACCATTGGCTCCCGAAGGACAATCTTAACGCTTAGTAACTTCAAGCTCCCTCCCTGAGTAATTTTGATGGAGAGATATATGGGTGAATAGAGTCCACTCATGCATGTGGTGGGAAGGTTCATTCTAGGAAAATGGACTAACCGACCTACTGTATTAGGAACTCTCCTATAAATGAGGTAGATTAGCAGGCTTGCCTTCCCAAACAGACACAAGATGGGTTATGAATCAAGTCGAGATCCCCAACCTCCCTAGTTTGTTTTGGGCCCCCTTTTCACCTTGACTGGGTCACCTTTTATATTTCCCATATCCGTCTATATATTCTCCTTTTCCCACTCCCTTCTCAAGAGAGCCTCTTGATTTTGTCCAATGGGCAGAATACAGCGGCTTCTCTTTTTTGAGGGTTGGACGGGCCCTACTAACATCAGTTATGTTGAGTTTACGTTGTGTTCATGTTTAGTTTGTTTTGGGGTTCATTCCCACCCCTCTTATTTTTCATCATAGAATTTTATATATAATAATTTATTATTAAATTTTTATGGCATGGGGCGCGTTTTGTAGGACCCCCTTGAGAGGATGTGGTATTATGGCGTATGGAGGATTGATTGATGACGGACGAATTTTTGTGGTGAATGCACAAATTGAAATGAGTGAATGGGTCGCGAATAGGATTAGTTAGATATAAAATAGTTAAGTGTCGACCAGCCTCAACCTCTCCCCCTTTTCGGCCTTGTGCCATAATTGTGTATTTTTATACATAATAAACAATAAATAGACACAATATGGCAGCCATGTTAGCAGGTAAGTCATGTGACTTCTACATCTCCCTCCTCTCCTCATTGCGGAAGTAGAGTGGGGGAGGAATCAGTTCCTTATTTCCTGGCCGATTGTATGTGAGTAGTCGAGATAGCGCCCTGAGGATCTTGGTTCTTGATGGTGGTGACTGAGTAGGGCCCTGGGATGCCAGGTCACTTCGCAATGTAATGCCACCATTTCCCGATTCTTTGGCATATTTGAAATCGTCGACTCAGGGGACACAAGCAAGGCGCTTGGTATGGGGGGTGTTGATTACAGGCGCTTCAAGTTTCCTTAGGGACCTACAGTTCCTCAGGATTATTCTGCCTGATCCTGCAACTGTGATCCTATATTGACGGTTGGGAAGCGTCTCTACTATTCGCCCAGCTATGTCCCATCGATGGCTATTCGGGTTTTGAATGGACACTACGTCGCCCTAACGAATCGGGGTTAGGGCAAACTATTAATCCTGTCTATACTTGTAAAATCTCTCCCTGCAGTTGCCAATGCCAACAGGATATACCTGTCTGTTATTGGATTCATTATCTTCATGAAAACACTATCTTAAGATTTTTTTAATATGGAATTTATTTTGGTTTATCTTACATAGATATTTATTAAGATTACCTTAGTTTAATGCAAGTTCAAATGAAATTGGTAGAGACATAGAAAGATTGTTTAACAACAATATCCTTTCTGGGAAAGGGCTGTTCAGTATTCAGTATTCAAAAATTCTTGTCTTGACTTCCAAAACCGACCATGGAGGCACGGTGGAGTAGTGGAGGTACGGATGGGTAATGGAGGCACGGTGAAGTAATGGGGGCACGGTGGAGTAATGGATGAACAGTGGAGTAATGGAGGTACGGTGAAGTAATGGATGAACGGTGGAGTAATGGAGGTACGGTGGAGTAATGGAGGCACGGTGGAGTGATGGAGGCACGGTGGAGTAATGGAGGTACAGTGGAGTGATGGAGGCACGGTGGTGTAATGGATAGCGACTAGGATTGCGGAATTGGTGAGCCGAGTTTGAATTACAGTCAAGTCTATTATGTGCTATTACCCTTGGGAAATATATGAGCCTTAGCTATGGGTAAATAGAAGGATAGATTGAGCTTTGGTTGGTAAGTAGTCTAGGAGAAGGAAACTATGAATTCAAACCAGTCAGGAACTGTCCCGAAGTATGTATACAAGCGGCTGAGGACCACTTGTGAACCTAAATCCCTACCTAAACCCTTACTATGAATTTGCAAATCCTTCAAGATGTGGAAGATTCGTTTGACGGAGCCTGCTCAAGTAATCCCGAGTGAATGCCGCAAGAAGTACAAGTACCAAACCCGACCACAGACGTCACAGGTAAAGACGTGACACTCTCAGCCACCAAAGTCTGCTCTTGCTGAATGTTTAAAACCTGCGTATGAGAAAAAGGGCGTAGATACGATGTACATTAACGAAACAATAAAGAAATGCAATAAATCCCAAATATCGAATTGCTCGATTATCATTTTACATGTTAGCTTCAAACTCTGCGAGGGAAAAGAAAAATAAGAAAGTCGTCGACAGAATGCATAACAATATGAGAACGAATAAAAGTTGTCAAAATAACGTGTTATGTTGGTGCTGGTGGTGATGGAAGATGTAATCTTTTTGACATTACAATTTGTCAAGTTGTTTTGGCAACGAAAACATTCTTTTGACGTTGTCACTCGGGTGTAATATGAATGCGAAGAGAAACGGTGAAAAGAATTATTAATTATGATGGGTAAGTAGATAGGGACGTAGATATGTACAGAGAGAAAGAGGGTGGCAGACAGAAAAGCATAGCCTTGAGAGGAAAATGAAAAATTAGAAAAAAAGTAAAAATATAAGACATACAGATGTACACAGAACAGAAGGCAGACATTTTCTCTTATTCGTAGACGATCACCATTAAGGATAACCTATCAGTTTACATTAAAACCAAACGAATTACAAACCATAATATTTTCGTTGGATTTCGCAATTAATTTCGATTATTCCTAAATTTAAGGAATTGACGTAATTTAATGAAACAAAACAAGTACAGTTGACCACTGATGACAATTCCAGAACAACGTAACTATAAACAATTTTTTCCTAACCTCTGCCAGCCGCAATGATAGAGAAAGCATTACCTCGAACCATCGCCAGTGAGACACGCTGCAAGAGCCACTCCGTTTCACGAAGCTCGTCCCTTAATCGAGACGCAATCGTGCCAATCCTCCGAACGAGGGCCAATAACCTCTGAAGTCGCCACTGCCACAGGAGCATAATATTGTTTTTAAAAGTCCCACAATCAAAAGATTATCGCTCAAATGAAACTTAAAAAATTAAAAATAATCTGACTACATAATTTTATGACTGGAATATAATTTGTATTTACTCAACACCCCACGAGGTCAGGTTGTGACACAAGGTCGGTTTAATGTGGGGAGCCCGAGCGCGTGCACCCGGACAAGGAACAAAAATCCCCCGAGCCCCCGTAACCGTCGGTTGCACTGGCCTCGGTGCGTGCACCGATCCTTCTCTCTAGTGCAATGAGAAGTCGCGGCATCGGGCAGCTGTTCCTCAGGGCCGGCACCTCTAAGTATAATTTTCCTCAGTTGCGACTCTGTCCTTTGACAGAGTCGCCCCTGAGTGCACTCTGCCCGAAGACAGAGACGCAACTGAGTGATGATAAGTAGACGTGAAATTACTCAAAAAGAGTAATTTATAATTTATAAAGATTTATGGACGATTTTAAATTTTCTTATAAATAAATATAACTGTCTATAACTCTGAGACAAAGTATTATGATTACTAGCATTATTTACATTATTTGGACTGTTATCCTCATCTTTATTGCCATATTCACAGCGTATCGGTCGTTGTTCACTCCGGCCTTCTTCAGGTGACTGAAATTTCGAACCGAACCCTTTATTTCGTCCACCGGAGTACATTGTTCTAGTTCCACGGGCCATGCCTCTTCCGGATGTCTCAGTTAACTCAACTTTCCAAGTTTTTTGGTCCACCACTGTTGTGACCTGGTATTGAACTCACAAGTCTTTGGTTCTAGTCACTGGATCTAACCAACGTCTTTATTCACGAGGCCATGTGTCCTTGAAGAAGGGCGAAGCGTACAACGGCCGAAACGTTGTGAATAAGACAATGAAGATTAGGATAACAGTCCGTATAATGTAAATAATGCAAATAAATATAGCTTTAAAATACTGAATAGTATATCAAAATTAAAATTAAACTGACCATCAGGATTTTAAATTTAATTTTAAAATGTATAAAATAATGCCATCCAAGTTACAAAACACCTAAATTGAAACACACACACTATAATCAAATCTCATGTGCTGGTGTCGGGCTTTCGGTTCCTAGGAACTGGTCTGCTTGACCCTCATAAGACGAATTCGACGGGAGAGTCGAATATATATATATATATATATATATATATATATATATATATATATATATATATATATCATTAAATAATATAGATATATTGTGTCTATCTATTTTATTCGTATCATTTCCATCATCAACAAATTGATTAGAGAAATGAAAAGGATCATTATAAAAATAAGTAGACACAATATGTCTGTATTATTCAATGAAACATGTTTGACTGAATATATGCTGCCTATATATACATACATACACACACATACACACACATACACACACATATGTAGCGGTGTAATAAATGAACAAATATGATAAAGAATATTATACAAATATGAAACTTTATCTTTCCTCAATCATTAATCGAAAACAGTTTTGACTTGTGCGACTCTTATTAATTGTACTGCCTAATAAGACAAACTTTACGGACATTTGATATGATTAAACGGTTTTTCTACAAGATTAAAATATATGTGTTATAAGAAATAAAGGCTAAAAGTGAAGACCCACTTCAGATCTAATGGCCTACTGTCACGGCTGCAGATAACAAGGAAGAATAAACAAATAAACTTGTCCTGGAGAAGGAAGACTTTTTCTCTGTTATATCGCTTTAATCGGAAGCAGGTGAATTCTTCAAAAGCAAAGATGGGTACAAGAGCTGCCAAGATATTTCACAAGATAAAAAGCTAATTAATTCAGGAATATTTCTAGCAATCATTAACAGATGATAACATCGGAAAGACCAGCGCTATCTTGAAATTCTGGTGCAATATGTTTTCCAAAAATTTCCAGCCTTTATTAACCTTCACTTAATTATTAACGCACAATTCCTCAAAGGTCATTAAAAAAACAAGGTCATTAAGTCCAATATTTCTTTAGATACAAACCCCATAGTCCAATATTTATATTTTCTTTTTGCTTTTGTTAGAATCAAAGCCCTTCAATAGTAAATGCTAGAAATTTGAAACTTAATTTACGTTATAAAGACTTATTTAGATTTTAATATTTCAAAATGTCAAAATCTAGAATTTCAATTGCTATTTCTATATTTTGTTAATGTTCTATTTAAAAAAAAAATGAATACATTGTTTTATTAATCACTATACATCGATCTCTTATGAAAAATAATAAAAAGATTTCATAGTTGCTTTTCTCGCATATCTCGCTTGTGAAAAACTTTTCCGGTTTCTTGCTTTCCTGTCAACTACGATCATCAAAAATTTAAATGCAATGTCAATTGTCACGGATTTTATCTGTTCTTTTATTGTCTTTTCTCCTCAATAATGTTTTCTTATTTTCTTTCACTCTCAGTAATCCTTTGCGTCAGAGTGGCTTTATCGTCTGGCTTGGAGTGAAATGATTAAAAAGAAAATGCACAAAAAAAAACAAAAAAAAAACGACTATATATCGTTCACCCACACAATTGCAGTTTCCCTCTAAAAGTTGCTGTCTATTACACTGTCAAGTTGAGCTCATCAGTGAATTTAATGTGTTACTAAGTATTATGGTAATTTACCCACGCACGTATCTACTCTCCCAGTTATAAATAGGAGCAGGTACTGCCTTTTTGAAGGGTGAAGTTTCCAGCTGTCAGCTCTGACAGTCGAACCGAACATTCTTGCTGTAACACACTCGTTTGTATATGTTTGTATTACTGTTTCTGTTAATATATTTGTTTAACTCAATTCCTCTCTTTGTGTCTTTATTTCGGGCCCTAACAAGGCCATAACACTAAGGGAGCCTTCAATTTCTATAGTTCCGTGAACGATATTATTTAATTTTATCAGTTTCCGTCATTCTATTGCTTTACAACCCCAATAGCCCTGCGTCTTAGTGGCTTTGTCGCCTTGCCTGGAGTAGGATGATAAATAAAGACCCTCCATCAATCGGTAGAATCAGTTTTCAATATCAGCAAACGTCAGTTAATTGTCTTTGAAGAAACAGTGCTAAGCAAGGAAGTTAACTTCGATACATATGCCAAGTTCTTGACTTGAGATATGATTCCAGTTGATGAGGCTGATTTGAAGATTCCTGAAAATTACAGATGAGAAAACATGAGAAAAAGTCCCCCCCTCCCTAAATCAAACATTAAAATAGTTTCCTCCTGAATTGATTGGGATTTTACAATGACTCTGTTTAATACTAAACGAGTTGTCTTGGATTCTTCTTCTTTTTTTATTGTAATGATTTTAAACTGATTTTTTTTTCTTATGTTCGAGCTGAATAATTCTGTCCGTATATCTCCATCTGTTCTCTTCCCAATGTTATTCTAGCCTTGTAATCCACATGTGTAACGTTGGGACAGACTATGGTTTATTGTGGCTTGTTGTTTGGTCAATTCTTCTCATGCTCTCCGGTGATGTCTGCCATTAAAAACTTTATTCAATTCATTGGAAAGAAACTTTCAGCTACAGAATCCCGCGTGTTATATCAGCGCACAAAACAATTTGATCGAAGATGTGCAGGGAATTAGATAGACAATTGAAACAAAAATCTCTCGTCTTTTTATTTCTCGCTCTCGCGTCTCTTCTGTTATTTCCTTCTCTTCGCTTTCTTTATTTCTCTCTCTCTCTCTCTCTCTCTCTCTCTCTCCTCCCTCTTTCTCTCTTTTGCTTCTTTCTTTATTGCAAAGGGACGATCCTAATCTGTCAGACTCTATTGGTACAATCAGCCGTTAAAATCATTTCCCTTTTTTAGCTACAGGGGTTAACAAAAGAAAAAAAGAAGCTGTATTTACTATTGATTTGCCTTAGGGACCTGATGTAATGAATATGGATACACCTGGGTTTACCCTCACAGTAATATGATTAGCTGGTGTCAGCCATAAATACAGACTGATGTGGACGCCTGTTGACGACGCCTATTGCCTACGCCTATTGCCTACGCCTATTGCCTACCACTACGACGAGGACCAGTTCATTACGGTTACCTGCTAGATTGTCCTACTCGGTTACAGTAGTCCAAAACCACTTTGCTACTTCGAGCAAATATACCCCTTTCCGGAACATATCAGGGCTACACTCCTGGTTTAGAGTCTTAAACCGATTACCAGCCAATATTAGAAAACCCAATCTATCTTGCTATTTACTCATAGTTTGGGAAAGAAGTTGGTTCAGGTCTTTCCCAAGTGTATTAGTACGAAGTTAGCACGAGCCATTTTGGATATACGTTACCGCCAATATTTTTTAGGCGAAAAACAAATGGCTAATTTATGCATTTATTAAAATAATACTTCCACAATGGGAACGATTATCTATAAGTATTGAACTCTTTATCAGCTTCTAGTTCTTTAATTTGAACCCCATGCTAATTGCTTTGCCTTTTGTTCTGTGGGTGTGTAGATAGGTTTGTAAAGTCAGGTAGTATTTGTTGCATTCAGATCCATTATGGATCTTAATCCGCCAATCAAATTGAACGTTTGAAATAACACTTCAAGTCTATGCTATTAATAAGCGATAACTTCTCAGAAATAAGCCATGTTTATAAATAACTATTAGTTGATGGCCTTTCGCAAAGATGGGCATATATAGATTTTCCGATGACATATTTGATTCTGATTCTCTTTAACCTCAAAAGCTGAATGCATATTTTAGATGTGTATATTTTAAACTTACTTCCATGTTCCATTCAAAGAATGAACGTCTTTGTTTCCTGGGCTCTAAAAATAAATTCGTTCATTTCTGGAGAAGCAACACAAATGCTGATATTGATGTTGGATCACAGCCAGACTGTCACTACTCACCTTCTGATGGCGCCAGAATTTTTTAATGTTAGGTCAGAGGTTATCATCGCCTGTTTGACAGAACCGGAAGTGATTCAGAAAGGTCAGAGCTTTAGCTCTGTTGGCACAAGGCCACAATTACTCATTTTCAAGATGGCCCTGACAAACATTGCTCTGTGGTAGGCATCCTTGAATAAGTGACAGATGGCCTTCCGATAGGTTGAAGAACTTTAAAATCTTTGTCAGTAAAATGTCATTTTATCAAAGAGTTAATCCAGGGATATTATCAAGATGGGGGTTGGTTAATAAAGATAGCTTCTTCCATTCAAACAGAACTTTACACTCTATCTTCTGAGTAGAAGTTTTAATCGATTAATACTGTAAAATACCCATTCTTGTTGAATGTTAAGACAAACATGATATGTTGATCTATACATGGGTCATTCTTTCGTCAAATTGAAATCAAATCCTTGCACAATTTGCATTTAGAAATTTATTGTAATTATATTTTTAATCGACTAAGAAATGTTGGGTTGTCCAAAAAGTTCGTTCGCTTATTACGTAGAATATTTAATAAACCGAATGAACTTTTTGGCCAAGCGAATACCAAGGAGAAAAGATAATTTCTGCCCGTCCTGAGTATGACGATAAACTACATCCGGCATCAAGGCCTCTAATCGAGAAGGCCTCTAATGAGGAGTTTGGAATGGCTTCTTAATTGCTGTTGTTCCCAGGTCCATCCTGACCTGGGTTGGTAGCACCTGTTAGGGTCCTCCAGCTATGGACAAATAGTTATTCCCAAACTGGGGTCAAAACACTATGAAAATATAAAAATCATTTTTATAGTAAAAATACCAGCAATATATTTTCATAGTAAAAAATTTACCCGCAATACATTATTGTAAAAAATATTACTAAAGTTCCCAACAAAATTAAATTTGGGCATTAAATGACCCATAAGGAGTTGATGTGCCACTAAACAAACATTTTAGCTTAAAATGCCGTAGTAATTATTTTGCTTTAGTCGTTCGTGGATTTCGCTCCGTTAGTTTAGATGGCATCAAAGGATTTAAGTGAGAGAGGGTCCTGCATTTGGATTATTACATCACAAACTTTTTCTTTTTTGAATAATTTGTTTTCTTCATTCTAAAATGATTGAATTTTGGTTCAAAATAGAGATTAGTCTTGTATCCAGGTCCATACGATATCATTGTCCTGGTAATGGGGTGCGTCAAAACTGAGTAGATTAATTCGTCTTTTCTCTTTCAGTCACTTTCTCTATCAATTTTATCACCTCCAGCTATGGATAAATAGCAGGACAGACTGGGCCTTATAGTCTTGGTCGGGGAACGGTCTAGAAGGACAACTCTGGATTCAAAACCTTCGGGGGTCGTTTGGTGACTTTGTAGCATACTGTACACCAGTTCTCTGTATACGACTCTTCCAAAAAGTGTGGTTGGTTCTGCAGAAGCCTTTTCTGCTATAATCAAATGATATGTGCTGGTAGTTTGGCTGTTGGTTCAAAGAAATGAGCTACTTGATCCTCATGCATTGAAAATGACTGGAGAGTTCAATATATATAAATTTCTCTCTCTCTCTCTCTCTCTCTCTCTCTCTCTCTCTCTCTCTCTCTATATTTCAACTCCTCTCTTTCCCAATGTCTTTCTCTAAATTTTTCTCCGTTTCAGTCTCCCTCTCTCTTGATGTCTCTTTTTTCAGTAAACTTCTTTTCCTTTCAATCTGTCTCTAAACCTTTTACTGTTCCTCTCTATGAATATACCCCTCATTCGTGTTTGAAAGAGTGAGTGAAATCGAAAACCATTGAGATAAGAACGAACGTGAACTGACACTTTTACTCAGTGGATGCCGAATAGGATTTAATTTTGCTTGCATTTGCATGGATTACACATTTCATATAGAAACTTGATGCCCTCATCAGGTTTGACTTTGTCGGTCTACTGTGCATGGGAGGCCCTTAATGAAAACATTGTATTATGTTTACGTCGACTTATTGTTCATTAAAAGGATATTAAAAGGATATTAAAATACTTAAAAAATAGAGAAAAAAATCATAATCATTGCCTGAGAAAAAATGGTTGGTGCGATAAGCCTAACCGAATTAAACCGTCTTTTAATGACACATGGCACAGTGGATAACGGCGTTGGTTAGATCCAGAGACAAGACCAAAAGAGTGTGAGTTCAATACTCGGTTAAGGCAGTGGAGGACTTTCAGAGGGAAATTAACAGGAGATAAATGATAACTGACATTCATTAAACATGGCACGTGGAACTTGAACAGTCTACCCCAGTGAGCGAAATAAAGGGTTCAGTTTGACATTCCAACCACCTGAAGAAGGCCGGAGCGTACAACGGCCGAAACGTTGTAATAAATATGGCGACAAAGATGAGAAGAATAGTCCGAATAATGTAAATAATGTCTTTTAATGAAATCTCTTTTTTTCTTATTTCAATCAGTGTGTATGCTAATTCTTAATTTTCTTGTTTGCCTTTCTTTCATTCTTTCCTCACTCCCTCCTTCTCTCTTTAATTCCCTTTTTTTCTTTACTTCTCTTTTTCTAATTGTTTCCCCTTCCTTCTTTCCCTCCTTCTTTCCTTCCGTCTTTCCTTCCGTCTTTCCTTCGTAATTTCATTCTGATTTCTTCCATTCCTTCTTTTTTTCCTTCGTTATTTCCTTCATCTTTTTTTCCTTCGGTGTTATCTTTTTTTCGCTTCTTCCTTCATTCTTTTATCTTTACTTCTTCATTCTTAATCTTTAATGACTCTTGCCAACAATTAACCGCAAACGAAAACATCGCCATATTGTAACCCATCATCACAAAATGGTCACCTAATATAAACCAACTGAAAGACAATTTCTAGAAATACTCTTTTCCCACAATCAACTAACGCCATGGTAGCCGACTGCCTTGTACTATATACAAATCAAATAAACAAAAGGTAAACTTGTCATTCCTTATCTACGACAAGTTTCGTATCTGATGTCATATTAGAACTGTCTTTTCACTTCTGTTAGCGACAAACCGCTCAGCAGTAACAATAAAAAAACAACTTGCGAATGACCAAGAAAAAATACCAATGATAAAAGTAAAATGACGTGTCAGCAAAATGGAATTTAAACTCGAGATACGTTTAAACCTTCCACAAACGATAATCTAACAAGCTTTTTCGTAGCAATCAAGTGTTCAAAGTTTTTTCTATTTGTTTGAAACGGTGGTCTCTTTTATAAGCAGTCATTTCTACTTTTCCAAGAGTTGATTTGTTAAGAATAAAATGTATCGCTTGGGGATCGTCATTAACTGCCTCCTCTTCGCTCTTTCCTCGAACATGGTCTGCGATCTCCTGTTTCAACAGAATTTTTAGATTTGGGAGAAATCAGAAGTCGCAGGGAACCATATCTAGACTGCAGCCAAGAATGACAGACATGGTTGGTGAGATGTTTTGCAAATCAAAAAATAAAACCTGCACAAAAATAGGACGATCACACAAGATAACTACTAAGTGTCTATTCACGTATGCACAGTACAGTCTATCCCCTGATTGGTTGTCAAGTTACATCAAGGCTCTGTAAGGATTCCGGATATATCATTTATGTAAAAGGCTGGATATTTTCCGGACATACCTTTCTCTCTCTCTCTCTCTCTCTCTCTCTCTCTCTCTCTCTCTCTATCTATCTATCTATATATATATATATATATATATATATATATATATATATATATATATATATATATAAAAAGCTCAAACACTAATATTCCATGGTTATAATTTATTAAATTGGAATCGTAATCACGATCCAATTCATCAAACCCACAAATTCAAAAATTTTGAATTTGTAGGTCTGATGAATTGGATCGTGATTACGATTCCAATTTAATAAATTATAACCATGGAATATTAGTGTTTGAGCCTTTTATATCATATCCTTACTCTGTCCTGGACATTACGATATCATTGTCCTGGTAATGGGGTGCGTCAAAACTGAATAGATTAATTCGTCTTTTCTCTTTCAGTCACTTTCTCTATCAATTTTATCACCTCCAGCTATGGATAAATAGCAGGACAGACTGGGCCTTATAGTCTTGGTCGGGGAACGGTCTAGAAGGACAACTCTGGATTCAAAACCTTCGGGGGTCGTTTGGTGACTTTGTAGCATACTGTACACCAGTTCTCTGTATACGACTCTTCCAAAAGTGTGGTTGGTTCTGCAGAAGCCTTTTCTGCTATAATCAAATGATATGTGCTGGTAGTTTGGCTGTTGGTTCAAAGAAATGAGCTACTTGATCCTCATGCATTGAAAATGACTGGAGAGTTCAATATATATAAATTTCTCTCTCTCTCTCTCTCTCTCAAAAAATTTGATATCATTTCGCAATCTAATAACTTTGTTAGATCTCCTTCAAATGATTTCAAATTCTAATAGCATCTTTATGTTTAATGTTTGTTTTATGTTTTTATGTCTTTATGTTTTTGTGTTTTTCTTATTTGTATTTTTATGTTCTTTAATCTTTAATCTTTTTCTTTCCAGGTATAAAAATGCCGTGTCTCAGGCGGTGCGCATATTGAACATTTGTGAAATCGGTCACATAATCCACATGCTTTTGAATTTCTCATTCAGATTTGGAAGAATAAATCTTATGATCTTCAACATTAATACTTTTTAATTTCATTTGCCTTAATCATGTACTTTCTGTGATATTTACATCTCAAAGGATATCAAATTTTTTGAGACACCCTGTATATATATATATATATATATATTGACCACTAATATTATATATATATATATATATATATATATATATTTGTATGTATATATATATCTTTCTTTCTCTCTCTCCCTCGCCATATCTCCCTATCACTCTCTATCCCCCCTCTCACTAATCTCTTATTTTTTATCAATTTATCGAAGAGACATGTGTGAGAGTGAAAAATATTAGGAGGAAAAAATATATATTGTTTTAATCTAAATATGTGTGAGTCCTCTGATCAGGAGATTGGAGGTTTTGAGGAACGTGAAACCACCTCTTAATTACTGTTGTTAACAGGTCCCACCCTAACACAGGTTGGTAGCACCTGTTAGGGCCTCATCTATGGGTAAATGGTGAACTCCTAAAATCTATGAAGCTATAATAATACATTTTTATAGTAAAAATATCTGCTACACATTTTTATATAAAAACAATTTACCAACGATATATATTTATAGTAAAATGACCAACAATATATTTGTAAAACAGAATTACCAACAAAACATTTTATAGCAAAATGACTAACATTTTATCTGTAGTTGAAGCCATAAAATTCTGTATAAGTCTGTGCCATGTGTCTCAAGGATACATGGCACAGTGGATAAAGGCGTTGGCTAGATCCAGTGTCAGGACCCAAAGAATGTGAGTTCAATACCCGGTTAAGGCAGTGGAGAACTTTCAGAAAAAAAATTAACAGGAGATAACTGATAACTGACATCCATTAGACATGGCACGTGGAACTAGAACAGTCTACCCCAGTGAGCGAAATAAAGGGTTCAGTTCAACATTCCATCCACCTGAAGAAGGCCGGAGCGTACAACGGCCGAAACGTTGTAATAAATATGGCGACAAAGATGAGCACAATAGTCTGAATAATATCCATATAACTCTGTTTAAAATATTTAGATTTCGGCATTAAGTAACCCATAGATGTTGATATGCCACTAAACAAAATCAACCAAACAACATAAAAGAAATCTTTCATGACATTAATCCTATAATTTCTTAAATCGAAATGGATTCCAAAATATAACTTCAACATAAAGCACACATATCACCACCTCTAGTAATCATGTCCACACAAACATGTATTGCGCAAAAGCTGAGTATTATTTACCATGTATTCAACTGTGAAAGCAAAATAATATAAATCGTATTATTTATTACTTCAAAACTCCCAAGGAAATTAAATTTCAGCATTAAATGTCCCATAATGTGTTGGTGTGCCGTTAAACAAATCAATCAAATGTGTGTACGTGTCTTTATTATAAGAAAGAAGGTCAACAAAGGGAAAGAAATGATTTTGGTTATCTGGACAGGAAGAGAATGAAAAGGTCGAAAATATGGATCGAACTCACTAATAATTGATATATCGAGATAAATTTGTTAACCATTACACCAGGTTGAAGCGCTCAAAATGATTTTCTAATCGAAGCTTCAATGCGGCACGAAGCCGGACGTATAGAGCACCCAGTGAGGATCGAACTCACTACTCAGTCGGAATTGTTCTAGCAAGACAAGCTTGCTAGCCCTTACACCACATCGGAGTGGCCAAGAAAGGTTACATAGGGAATGCAAGACAAAAAGAGACGAATGGAACGCGAAAAGAGACAGAAACGACAGAGATAGACATGATATGAGCCGAGAAAAGTAGGCAAGAGCCATAAGAAGCAATCAAAACGCAGACTGTGCGGCTAAAATGCATAAAGAAAATAATTTTCCTGACTAAATAAGCAGAATTCTTGATACATTCCTCAGCCCCTGACGTTGTACGTATTAACCAACAATTTACTTTGGCAGTAAGCATTTCAAACAAATAATTTCATATCTTTGTTTTGATATTTATCGTCACAAGAATTACCAATCCTTTTAATCTACAAGGTCACGACATCACTTTTGTGAATATTCACTTTCTTTCTTTCTCCGCCCATTACAACTTCAACGACATACCAAGTCAGCCATTCGTGTAATAATTGTAAGAATATATCTGCAGCATTCACATTCATTGCAAATATAAATGTCTCCTACCCACAAAAAGAAAGAAAAAAAGAAACTGACTGAACTTTTATTCGTTAATATGACATTCTTTTTATTAATGCTTCTTCTTCTTCTTCTTCTTCTTCTTCTTCTTCTTCTTCTTCTTCTTCTATGTGCCGTGTCCCTTCAGCACGAGTGCGGCCATGGCTCTCCACAAACATCTCCCTTGTAGCTCTTAGCAACGTTTGTCCTTGTGCCAATACTTGTAATCTCTTTCCACAATTCATTCACACAAACTGTTCAGGTAGTTGGCCCGCAGCCTCTCCCTGCCTTTCAGATGTCGCCCCCCCCCCAGTGTTACACTCGCGTCAGCATTATTATTATTGTTTTATCAACAATCCTACACTGACTGGACGTCTGTCTCCTTTACTTTTGCCTCATTTCTCTCTTTTTTTTTACCTTTTATTTTCCTTTTTCGATCATGCTCACACACACACACACACACACACACACACACACACACACACACACACACACACACACACGCACACTACTAAGGCATTGTTTTTAAGTCTTTAATCACAATGTCTGGTCTATTAACTTTTATATGTCTGTCCGTATTAATGGTAAAGTCCCAAAGAATAAATTTATTTTGATATAGTCTTTAGCAGATATATTTTCTACTGTCTACGAAAAGACATTTTTCTTTTGGATTATTTAATGGGAATTTTTGGTCTTATATATATGTCAGTATGAATAGTAAATTCCCAAAGAATAGTGACCTCCTGGCCTACAATGACTGTTTATGTTTATACAATTTTTCGGCATGCGGAATACTGGAACACTGACATATCTTCCAATCTTATCATATCTCTATCTATGCATTACTCCAGTATCAGGGTTTGACAAGCAGACACTAAGTAGTCAGTTTTCTCGACATGTTTTTCATATTAGCTATGTATCCGGTCTGAGTCATTTTTTTATTTTATTTTCCTGATAATTGTTTTTGAATTGACTTTGATCTTGTGCAACCATTATAAATGTCTATATCTTAATTTTTAACCTTGCATTCTTTAAGCAGTCATTGCTTTTCTCTTCATCCACATCGGCATCGTCACTTCTGCGTTCATAAATTTGGCCTTGTTCGTTTCTTTTTTTCAACTTTCAGTTATTCAATCCTCGTGACTTAACCTCCTTTCGCTTTTATGATTTTAGAAGCATTTAGTGGTTGATTATTTTTTTATCTATTTCCTTTACGTGTTACTTTTAGAATTTTGAGTTTTCTTTATAAATGGAATATTTTGTTTTTACTTTTTTCATGATTCTTATAGACTGTTAACAAGTTTATTATTATTATTCTGCTTGTTTCTTCGTTACTTAGCTATATAGCACGTACGTTACGCCATTATTGTTCCTTCGTTACTTAGCTATGTAGCACGTACGTTACGCCATTATTGTTCCTTCGTTACTTAGCTATGTAGCACGTACATTACGCCATTATTGTTCCTTCGTTACTTAGCTATGTAGCACGTACATTACGCCATTATTGTTCCTTCGTTACTTAGCTATGTAGCACGTACATTACGCCATTATTGTTCCTTCGTTACTTAGCTATGTAGCACGTACGTTACGCCATTATTGTTCCTTCGTTACTTAGCTATGTAGCACGTACGTTACGCCATTATTGTTCCTTCGTTATTTTCCTTCTATGTATGTAGCACGTACATTACGCCATTATTGTTCCTTCGTTACTTAGCTATGTAGCACGTTCATTACGCCATTATTGTTCCTTCGTTACTTAGCACGTACATTACGCCATTATTAATAAATAATGGACTATTCTGTTTTCATTGCGAGGAAAGACAGAAAAGACACACCAGGGACGCTGTTTGGTTACAAAAAGAAAAAGAAAGAAGTAGAAAGAAAATAAAGAACTCAATAACGCTCTCATCCGTTTAAATTCTACTTGAGTAAAATAGAAAAATTTTGTCAATTTTTAATCTTTTCATTTGTACCCTCTTAATTCTTTAAATAATGAACTGCATTCATACTTATGATTATTATTGCAATATGTTCTTTCGGTTCTTAAGGTTAAGCTCAAATATTTAACGAGGCAATCGAGAAATCTCTGCGGTTATTTTATAACCGTAGAATTCGCCTTGAGCTTATTCAATCATTAACTTGAGAATTGGGATTCATCAAAACATTCATATAGACAAACCGTGAAATTTTCACAGGTAGTACAAGTTGTTGTCGTTATTATTATTATTATTATTATTATTATTATTATTATTATTATTATTATTATCTTTGATTTCTGTTGTATACACATTTTCTTTCTGGGTCTCAACCAGACATCTAATGTCAGAAATGGCTTCATGTCATTTTCCATTGATCAAAAAAAAAAAAAAAATTAAATAACTAAGATCACTCGCATTTTACACAGATAAAGCTTTTTGTAATGTGTGAGCTGTAGTTGTGGGTACAATTTTTTGTATTTCTTTAAAGAATGGGCTATCAAGAATCCCTTCAATGGGTCTATCGGAACCTTTTTCCAATTAATCCGGGGTCTCCAACTACAATTGGAATTGTTGATGTCCTCATGTGTCACATTTTTTAGATTTCCATTTCAAGATCCTTATATTTTGATAGTTTTTTGAAGATCTTCAACGATAGATTACAAACTTCAGGGACTGCCATGTTAATAAGAAAACACATTCCATTTTTGTTACCTTTGAGCAATTAGCATTGATTGTTCTGTCTGTGTGCATTGTAAAGTCCCATAAAATCGTTACATGTTTTATTTCTGTAACCAGGTTTGGGTGATGTTCATATCAGTTTCTTGCAATTTCCTTCTCGTATTATTATTAGTAGTAGCAGCAGTAGCAGCTGTAGATGTCGCGGTATTTATTGCTGCTGTTTTGTAGTAGAAAAAGCTTTAAATTATTAATTTTCTTGTTTATATTTTTATGTCTTTATTCAGTTTCACGTTAATGGATTTTCTCTGTAATGCATTTCTTGGGGTGGGGGGAGAACTAACTTTCAGGATATTTCAGTAGAAGTCTTCTTGACTAAAGAATTTATCCAATTAACCGTAGTAATAGGTGTAAAGTCTTTGAGATTGAAATTTGTTTGACTCTAAACTTAAGAAATGATTTTTTTCTTGAAACAATGTTAGCAGAAGGCCGTCACAATGATGAAATACGTTGGGAAGAATGAACAAACAAACAATGGAGTGTGAAACCCTTCTTCCAATCGTCGTTCCACGACAGGTGCATCCTAAATTAATACTGTTTATGCGCAAGTATATGTAAACTATTAAAGTAACTCCGAAGAACATGTTCGGCGGAATCTAGTCCCTGATTAACATAGAATTAGAATAATTGAAACTGGATTTTTTGTGGTATTGGTAAATATTAACAATTTTAACTTGTATCTTTAATTTTAATTCTAATTTATTTATTTACACAGATCGTTACCTTTTTGTTATCTGTGAATTACTATGACATCTCGAGAAAGAGAGTAGAGTTTACTACTGTCTTCTCCACAGTTTTGAATTTAGAATTTTCATTTTTCAAGTCTGGTTGCCTTTCAAAACTAGAGAGTATCGTCTACCCTACGATTTAACTTATAATGGGGGTGCTTGCTTTTATATCTTAAAGCAATCCCCCTTACAGATCATTATAAAACATACTTCTGTTAAAATGAGATGTCAGTGTTATTTTCATTTTTGCGTAATTTAAACAACAATTTATCTATTGCATACTATATCTATCTATCTATCTATCTATCTATCTATCTATCTATCTATCTATCTATCTATCTATCCCTCTCTCTCTCTCTCTCTCTCTCTCTCTCTCTCTATATATATATATATATATATATATATATATATATATATATATATATGGGCTCGCTGCTGCTCGTTTCCGAGTACACATGTGAGCAAAGATAATTCCTGTTGAAGGTAAATTTGTGTTTCTTCATCAAGAGTCAACCAGTGGCATACACAGCAACCATGCTGAGTGGGCATGAGTTAAAATTTCTTGGAGAGAGCACACAAAATGGCGTAACGAGCAGAGTTGACCAAGACCGTTATACTCGAACTTCTCGGTCACGATGACTTGTAACTTCGTGCTAGCACAATAATTGTCATCTTTTGAACAGTTTCGTTTACCCAATTTCACTCAACCCGTGGGTATAATTTTGAACCTAGGAACGTCTCTCCAGGGACCCATGCTAACAATCCCCTACACACAACTGATGGAAACACAAGGTACATTAATTTATTGGCGTTGAGTAATGATTTCTATTACCATGACGTCGCAATATGTCATTACTAAGAAGGGGAATATCAGATTAAGTGACCGATAAATGGAATAAATAATATGACATATAACAATATTTGTTTCAGTTTTAAATATTTTAAACTAATTTCTTTTATGTTTTACACCCAATTTTCAACATCAAATCTCTTAAAATTTACCGGTTTCTATTATATTTTCAAATGCGTCTCACTTCTTCCAGGAATCACTAATTTTTCAATGTCCCTGTATTTATCTTCTGGGTGGTTCCAGTACTCCGATGATTATGAGCACGACCCTCAGTTTTACGTTCCTCCAGTCTTGTAATCGAATTCTCAATATTCCCATCTTCTTTTATTATAAGAAAAAAATGTTTATTTACAT